AACTAATGTTTACAACTCATTGATCAATAATCTATTGATATTATACAATTATTACAATTATACAACAATTACTTTCAGTAATTTAGTATGCTAATTTGGGTTATACATAAGCTAATGCTGCTTGAGTATCAACTGGTCTCTCTCCACAATGACATCATTCTCATTAACACAAAGTTGGAGAAGAAAAAGAGTCCAAATGGCAGTGTGCGGCATACCATATTTTTGACATCTATCCTTAACAGAGTAAAATAAAACAAAAGTACCTTTAATTATGAAACTGGTTTACAATACATTCAATTATGTTCAATTACATATACAATTGTATTCAATATGAAGAAAAAATACATGCAAAACTTTACTCGAAAGTTTGAGAGCAGGAATTTTTTTTATTAGGTTACGCTACATCTGCTCTACCTACAGACCTAGGACATTGCCCCAAAAAATAATCAAAATATCTTTACACCAAGTTATCTGTTCATACAGCATGAAAGAAATTTACAGAATAGCTCACAATACTGTGTAGATAGAGTGAAACACACCTGTCCTGCATGCAACTTTACATGCAATTACCTTCGGTGCTGTCCTCCTCATCTGATTGCCAATGCATGCTTCTCTCTACAGCCCTTTTCCATTTTGCATATCTCTTCTCTCGTTCTGGAAACATGATAGAATAAATAACTAACACATTGATTTAAATGTCAACCCATAATGTCAACCCCGTAAAAATACATCATATATTCTTTATATTAATTTAGGATGAAAGTCCTCATAGTATAGCCAACGTTCAGCAACTGTTTTGTTAAAGGAGGAGTGTCCCCATTTGCACATTAAAAATCTGCCATGCCACTTACTGGTTAGATGGGATTCGGGTGGTTGTACTGCCTGCTGTAAGAAGGTGCTACCTGATTGGGGGAAATGGGATAAAGTAGTGCAATCTGGGACACACCTCCTTTAAGACATAACAAGACTGAACCTTAACAGGATGAGATTTGATGACATACCAGAGTCGCCGATTGATGGGTTGTAGGTATATGTAGTAATGGCGGTACATGAATCGAGCTTGTCCCCCACCTTCCACACCTGTACACCCTCTGCTGCTCCCGCAGCAATGGCAGCACCCAGTGCTGTTGTCTCTGGCATTGATGGTCTAACTAATAGGGCAGAATATTATGAAGTCATTCAATTATATGTAAGGCCAATCAACAACTGATCAACAACAAGTATGACAGCAGTTTATGATATACATATACAAATAGAGCATTACTGCATCCATTTGAATGTACACAATTTCCATTGAAAATAAGTACATGAAATAATAACATTTAATATTATTATTAATATTATTAATTAATAATAACCTTTTTCAAGTTTAGCGAGCTCTATGAAATCTACCATCAGGATACATACTGACAGGTATGCCCAGCAGATCTGCTTGTATCTGCATGAGCAGGGGGTTCTCCGTCATTCCTCCATCCACCTGTAGCGAGGGAATAGGGATTCCACTGTCCTGGTTCATTGCATCTAAAATCTGGGAATAAACGTTGGATTAGAATGACTACGCGAGATTATGCAAACTGCAAAAAGTTGGCATCAGACAATGTTTTTTTATATAGAATATGCAGTTTATCTAGTATCTATGCTAGTTTTTTACTTAAATTTACTTACTTCTTTGGTCTGGAAGCACACGGCCTCTAGAGCAGCCCTAGCTATGTGAGCCTTGGTTGTAAACTGTGTCAGCCCACATATTATCCTGCAAATATCAACACATACATATGCATGTGTAGTGGTGTTCAGATCACGGTCGATATGTAGGGGTAGCAGAGAGCAAGGCAATAAAAAGTTGATGAAAAAGTTAAACAAACATAAATTTGTAAGAATTTCATTCACAATCAAATGAAAGTCTGGGCAGGAAGGTAGAGTAGTTTAGAGTAGAAATTAGCTGGTGAGTGTAAGAAGAATATTATTTTTAAGGTGAAACAGGACTTACCCTAGTAGAAAGTGATGTACATGTTACTAATTAGACGAATTATGTGCTGTTTGTCATAAGACCAATTAATCAACGATCACTGGAGCAACAGGCATTGAAGAGGACCAGCACTTTATAGAGTTTGACAGTATATTGAGATGCTTAGTGCATAGAAAATAGTATATAACTAAATACATTTCTGATATCCGACATTCACATTTGTTATTATTCATCACCGAGTTTCAAATTTTGTTATTGACATGATAGGTTATGACTCGCTATGCTGCCGGTGACGATATATATGTACATCTGTACAAACATGTACTACCTTATACGACAACGACGCCTTCAGCGTTAATAACTGCGAAAAGAGTTAGTCATGTCACTGAGAATAGGAAAGAACAGATATTAGTAGAGTAACAACTCATGACTAATATGGCACTGAAGTGTTGTACTTACCCTCTTGCATCAGTTTGCCAGTATGGTGCATAGAGTCCAGAGAAAGCTGGTACAAAGTATGTACCAGCTGTATCCTTCACTGTAGATGCGAGCTTCTCTGTATAGATTAATTAAAAATAATTTTACATATCACTCACTCTTTTTTTATAACAATAAATTCTAGAAATCCAAATGATACAATGACATTATACTAATTCCCACCTACCTATATCAGAAGATTTTTCTATGATGCCCATATTGTCCTTGAGCCAGCGAATGCAAGCACCAGCGATAGCCACTGATCCCTCAAGTGCATAAATGACAGGCTGCTTTCTGCCAAGCTGGTATGCGACAGTAGTCAATAATCCATGCTCAGAGATGACTGGCTGCTGACCAGTGTTGTATAAGAGAAAACAGCCTGTTCCATACCTAGAAAGAGCAAACGCTACATCAACAATATTGCATCAGATGCCAGCTATCTTGTCCCTAAGGGTCCAGTTACACACAGTGTAGACTATACACTCATGATCCACTGCCACATCTTGATGAAAAAATACTATTAGGCCAGTCAGCCATATCACTGCAAATACAACAAGTGCCGCATAGCGACAGCGCTCATCTAACGTCTACTGCGGTGACTCTGTGGTGGAGTGGAGGGATTCTAGTAAACCCTGTTAGTCCCAAATGTGTTCACATACACGCCGAAACAGTGGAATGCACAGGGATGGTATCAGGAACCTTCTCAAAAAAGAATGTTCGTTGGGATCGTTATGAAAGTTGCCACGAGATGGCGCGTACGTTTAAGTATCTTCAGATTAAAGATGGAAGCTTCCACAATCATCCGTAGTAGCAACAACATATTTGCAAGACAGAATAGGTAAGCACTCATGCCATATTACCTACGCAAGCCCTATACAGGCCTGCAATTGCAATAGAGAGCTGTCAACCTGCTAAACCAATTAACCGCAGGCAAAACTGCCCGCAACACATGCAACTGCAGCAAGCCACTTTGCAGTGGCATACTTTACATTGTAGACGATACTGGAAGTACCAGAATGGACATACGAAAAATTATATTCGATTTAAGGAACATACACCGTACTTTAACACAAATTTAGCATTTGAAATTTCACTGTGACAATTGTAGGCCTCATAACATGCCAGGCATGCTAAGGATTCTACTAAGCAAACCCAGGCAGTCCAAATTCCTTTACTAAAATCACAGTCTACGAGTTAACAAATCCATGTTTTAAATCCTCCCTCTTGTGAGAGGTCAAAAGGTTTATGCAGATCACTACTTCTCGCAAACGCAGTGGAAAGCAAAAAAAAAAAAAAAAATTTTCATGTCCATTTCATAAAGGCCAGTAAATGAGTAGGTGCACGACGCTGAAACAAAAAAGTTTTTCAAATCGCTCCGTCAACCATTGTCGGCTCCAGAAAATGTCTAAAATCTGCCCTGTCCATTACCTTTGACCTTGATCCCACGTCGCAATTTCAGCACAGTGATGGCTTTTCCTACCGATGATGCTATACCACCGAAATAAATCAACGATCCTAAGGTCCGAGCCGTTTTAGATTTGTGCCGCAATGTCGGCATTTCCTACCCTATACGCTTAAATTAAGGAGTGAATGTTCCCCCTTCTTTTACACCTCTTGACCTTTGACCTTTGACCCCCAGCTTCGACATCCCAACTCGTTTTGACGATCCCCCCCAACGAGCCGAATATCGTGACCGTACGTCGAGCGGTTAAGATTTGTGCCCAACTGTTGACGGACGACCGGACGACCGGACGACCGGACGGACGGACGGACGGACGGACGATCAAGCGATTCTACAAGCTGCATCTGACTATGTCAGATGAGCTAATAATTAGCCAAGTTGGTTTTTGGATGCATATAGCTGCTATGATGCATTCAGATGACAACCTTGTTAACAGGCTTGAATATGAGATATTAGGTGACAGTTCATATAATATACAATAAACACATCAGATGGAATTCAAACAACCAGAACAATTATAGTGAAGTTTACACATACATGCAATGGTGAATATATATAAAATGCAAAAATAAACTCTTTTTCATACGTATTCTTAGCTTGCCCTTCCTTAAAGCATGCTTGTCCCACCAGTGCTGACTGCTGATCACCAAGTATCTAAAATTCAAAGGAATACACTATGAAATGTACCTACAAGCAATCAAATTGATAGCAATAATTAATCAACATGAATTACAAATTGCATTTTAATAACCTGGTTCATATTAGGTCTTGGAAGTTGACGCATGGTACCCGATAGCAATGCACCACACCTCAGCTCCTTCATACATGTATCAAATAGAGACGCACAGCTAACAAAAGTTTATAACGAAAAAAAAATCTGCTTCTGCTTCTCTGTTTAGGCACCCTGTGCATTCGCAGCCAGCGACTGATTGCGTCATTGTATCCCTCTGTTTGACTACCTTACACATGTATTTATACTAAGGACCATATTACTTTGCTTTGTAGTCATGCATGGCTGTCTGGTGCGCGTTTCACTAACGTCTGCTAAAGTTGTCCGCTAAGTTATCCGTTCACTATTTAGCGAACGGAGGCATAAAGGAAAACTTAGCGAACGGACAACTCTTGTTTTACAAACGCTCCGCTAAGCCTCCGCTATTTAGCGAAGGAAAGCTGACAGTCAGTTGGCAGATAAATACAAGTGTGCAGTGCAGTTGCTAGGTTACGTTCTATCATACACAAACAACTCCCGCACACGCCTCTTATATGCATTTTCATGAGGTCTCTCGGCCACGTGTATCGCTAGCCGTGCATTCGTGTAGCCGTGTAGCCATGTATTCGTGTAGCCGTGTAGCCATGTATTCGTGTATCCGTTTGCTGAATGCTTCTAGTTGCATAAAATCGTAGTGATGCAAAACTTGTAAAGAGGTAGATATGGCTCTATATCTCATTGTGCTGGCGAGAGCTCTTCTTCAAGTTGATCCACTAGCTCAGCAATGACAAAAGCGATGATTTCAGTGTCTTTGTATGTATCAAATAGATGTGCTCTGTCTCTAAAGTTCCTTTCTCTTCAAAAATGTCTTCTTGCATGTTCCCTATTATAAGCTTTATAGAATAAAGGTTTGCCATTATTCTCGCTACACTTACGTGCTCGCAGTTATAGCATTGACCATGAGAGTTACACAAAATGGTTGCTTATGTATTGTAGTGAAATGTGTTATGGGGTACGTGCTAATTACTGTATCGTCGCATACCATGCTCGCAACTCAGTGCGTGCTAACGTGGTGCGTGCTAATGGGGTCGACCGCCTGACAACTACGCAGTTTGCAAACAAGGTACAGACAATCGCGTACGTAAATCAGTGCCATCAATAACCTTTACAATACATGGTAAACTGTTAATAGCTTAAATGTAAATACACAACGTTTGTCATATTCCTAATGCAGAGTTAAAACAGTTTTTTAGGTGTAATAATATGCATAATAAACAGCCAAGATTATTTTTATCACGAAAGCTCTTATTTGATGGCAATTTTGATGGGTTTTATATACACCATAGTGACTAAACTTAGCGGGACGTGCAAAATTTCCGCTAAAGTTGTCCGCTAAAATGCGGTAAGTAGCGAGCGACTTTAGCGAGCGGACGTTCGTGAAACGCGTCCTCCACTATTTAGCGCACAACTCGAGAGATAGCGGAGCGACTAACGAACGGACAATCGTGAAACGCGTCCCCCTGCTATTTAGCGGACAACTCGAGAGATAGCCGAGAAGATATAGGAGAAGATAGCGGAGGGACTAGCGAACAGACGTTCGTGAAACGCACCCTCCGCTGTTTAGAGGACAACTCGGGAGATAGCAGAGAAGATAGTGGAGGGACTAGCAAACGGACGTTCGTGAAACACGCCCCTGTAGGACTTACCCCAGATATAGGTATCCCTTTCAAAGAACCTTCTGACATGACACTGTAAATCTCTGAGCAGCTTCTGATTTCTGGCAAGATATCCATTGGTACACTAAAGAACCTGGTACATGAATACAAACAGGTCACACTAAATATTACAATCACAAACCACTCCTATTTTGAAATTCAGAGGTTATTCCATATCATTTAAATAGAAGCATCTACTTATTACTCTCATGTAAAAATTAAATGACAGTAACAAAGATATACTGTAAGCATCTAATGTAGGTGTATGCAGAAAAAATAATCAACTTTCTAACTAAATTCATTCATAACTTCCAATAACATAAACGAATATTTTAATCCAAATCAATTTGATCTTAAAATCGATAAAATTTCACATTCTGGCATGTATACATCGCACATATTATAGGCTAATGAACATCATAATTACAATGTAATAACTGTAATCTATAATAATTTGATAGAGGAATACTTGCCTACACAGTTCGGCATCCCACTTGTGGTTATGTATGCTCATCAGCATTGTCCGACTGGCATTCGTCACGTCGGTGATATGTAGTCCCCCTTTAGTTCCTCCAGTCAAGTTCTGTTCAATGCAAGGAAAAAATGTAAAATTTATTTTTCGGGGGCTATTTTTCAAGCTCGCGTGCATGAAAATAGCACTCTAAAATTTGGTTTGCATTGAACTCTATTCAAATTTCCGGGGGCTCTTTTTGGCATTTCCGGGGCTCTTTTTGGCATTTCGAGAGCTAAATCGCCCTGAGCCCCCGTGTATTTTTTTCACTGGTTCAATGAAGAATTTAAATAGAAGCTACTCCCTGCAACTCCTCAAACAGAAATCATTGACGATGGGGGAAATGGTTTAGAACACGTTGCATGGTAAGTTTATATTTTTTTGTCAACCCAGCATAAAGTAGAGGAATCAGTACTGAAGATTAGCTCATTTGTCCATGCAAACTATATAAACAACAGACCATGCAATCTGACATGAGGGAAGATTAAGATTAAGAAAGACTCTAAGAAAGATATCAAGAAGCAGTTTTCATGGTAATATAGGCGTGTACTTAGAGTACACTTTAGAGCGTACAGTGTAGAGTGTAATTTAAGATGACATTACGTAATATTAATTGAATGGAGATAAGTGATAGTCTCTCTCTCATAATTACTCACCCACATGAGCCAAGAATCTACGGTGCCAAACAGGCATCGCTTCTCATTGATAGCTGTCACTACCTGCTGGCAGTTGTCCAGCATCCACTTTAGTTTCACTGCACTGAAATAGGTGCTCAGTGGCAGGCCACATTTTGTCTGTAAAACACATTAAGAATACACTCAAGCTTTTGCACTGGTATTGCTCTAATGAAGAGTAAACGTTTATTGACAAATTAATTGATTCAATCACGTTTTATTTATAGATGAGATATATCTCTACACACAAACCAAAAAATTTCATGAAAATTTCCAGCACCTAATTATGCAACATCACAAATTTTGAATTTTATGTAATAATGGTATTTTGGTTATTTCTCAATTACCACAGAGTATGAAAGCAAAATTCTCGCCACAAGTGAGCACAATATGCAACAAAATACCCGTCAGGATTTTTCTTTACGTTTCATATTTACTGAAAAAAAGCCTAAAATTTAAGTCGAATAGTCGGATTGAAAATTTATGCAAATAAAGAACTATAACTCATAACCAGCAATGTACGTGTTACCATTAAAACGAGTGTAAAATTAAATTATTCTAAGTTGTAATGACAGAGAAATAGCCATTTATACATCAGCTACTGTTGCAGAAATCGAAACGGATAAATCGGCGTTTTTCTCCTTTCCACAATGACTGACTGGCTGTGTGCAAAATGGGTGAACGCATGCGAAACATGTTAGTACTTACCTTGACATATCCATGACTAATGAAAACCACTAAATTGGTAAAATGTTTTGTCCACGTTGAGAAATTGTGAGAAATTATGACGTTACCATTGCAATTTCATGTGAAATGCACGAACGATGTGTACTGCATGACGTCACTAAGCCAAGTGTCAACAAATATGTATGGCCTATATGTAAAGCTATGTAACTGCGTAAATGCTATTTTCGACTGTGCGGCAATTTTAACTATCGCTGGCAGATGACAGCTGTGGAAGGGTTGATGCCGATGGATTCTGTCATAATGAATGCTGTGAAAAGACTGGTTGTATCATGTCTCCGATGTCATCAGTGTTTAAAGGGCCACGGTTCACTACTCACGTATGCTGGCAATCAAAACACTTTGAAAGTTCACATGCATCGCTATATGGAGAAATATGTATGTACCGATGTGGCACCTAGTGTTAGCCATCGAATAAGAATGAAAATGAAAATTTGATAAAAAATTTGCATCATTAGGCGCGTTTACACACAAGAAAAACCGCGATGCTAATCGCGATGAAATACCGAGATAATTGTGTCGTTGTTCACACAGGCGAATAATCGCGCTAATCGCCGAGCGGGATAATTCTATTAATCGAACTGCGCATGCTCACTGCCGGAATGATGCTCACTGCGCATGCTTACTGCTCACTCGCTTGGAATGATGGGATAGAAAATACCGGGATTATTTGCGCGAGCGTTCACACACGCAAATAATCGCGCTAATTCCAAAGCGAGCGTTCACACACGCAAATAATCGCGCTAATTCCAAATAATCGCAGTCAAAAGTGCGATTTGGAGCGCGATGCTGATCGCGATTATTAGTGAGTATTATTGCGTTCACACTTGTAATAATCTCGGTATTTCGATCGCGATGCAAAAACCGGGATTTGCATCCCGCTTATTCGCGCCAGTGTGAACGCGCCTATTGAAGCTTGAGTGTATCCAACTTGAATATTTGTTTACACTGCTTTACATAAACGTCCACAAACAGGAATTAACATATATTTGATGTCTTATTAATTCTTGTATTAAATGAAACTAGCTAAACTACACTTGTCAATAATTACTTTATATAAAAAATTGGTTATGAATAATAACAAAGATAATAACACATCATTAATACCTTGAGGAATTCTTTATTTCTCCCTGGTATTTTATCCCTTAGTTTCTCCACTGTGCTAGCAGTTCTTGCATCAAGCCAGACTAAATGAATGCAGAATATATAGCTTTAATTTCTCAAATAAGATTGGTAACAGGCTGCTATATGCTCAGATATCTAGTTGGGTAAAATATATTTTTGGTTTTTCTTCTGAATGTTTCTGTATATTTCTGTATGCTTTTCAGATGCAGCACATTTAATATCACCTCACTGGTGTATGGTGGCCGAGGGCTGCCACTACAATTTTACCTCTGAAATAAATAAAAGCAAAAAAAAAATCAAAATCAAAATCAAATTCAAAACGAAATCAAAATCGAAATCAAAATCAAAATCAAAATCAAAATCAAAATCAAAATCAAAATCAAAATCAAAATCAAAATCAAAACGAAATCAAAATCAAAATCAAAATCAAAATCAAAATCAAAATCAAAATCAAAATCAAAATCAAAATCAAAATCAAAATCAAAATCAAACAAAACGAAATCAAAATCAAAATCAAAATCAAAATCAAAATCAAAATCAAAATCAAAATCAAAATCAAAATCAAAATCAAAACGAAATCAAAATTGGCAGCTCTCGGCCAACGCGTAAACTCATTTCACTTTACTTTTAAAAGTGAAATCAGTTTTCGCGTTGGCCGAGAGCTGCCAAAGTGAAATCAGTTTTCGCGTTGGCCGAGAGCTGCCAAA